ACATACTTGGCAGATAATTTGACTTTTAAAATATCTCCGTAGTATCTCGCATGAGACGCGTTTTCAAGTTTATTGATAAACGACGAATCAGCAGTATGTGTCTCCTATATGCAACGCATGCAATCTAGTGCAGTATTCTATGCAGTTTCTCGATAATGGCGTATAACGAGGCTCCTGAATTACCTGTCCTGGTCGAATAACCTTCTTCTAGATACTATCTAAAGAAAAATCTACAATTACCTGCATAAAATAGAACGGTGAAAATGTTTAATATATATATAACGAGAAAAAATATAAATTATTAATTGTCTCAAGTTTATCGTCAATTTTGTTTAAGTAAAAAAAAAAAGAAAAAATATATTCTATCTGTAACAATTATAATTCGTTGTTTGTTTAAACAAATGTAATATTTAGAAATTGATCGTACGTCCGTTATTTTTCGAATTTCACATTATTTTCGATGACTTTGGTTCCGAAACAAAAATGAGAATGGGCGATTTTGATGAATAATGAATCTGAATATCATAGACACCAAATTAATTGCTATACATATAATAATTTATTGAGGATAATCGCAACTTGCTAACGGTGAATGCTGTCGTCTTTGATTATCAGCTCTGTGAAGCATAACGAAGCTTCTATCATCCTCACTTAATAGAATGACGTAGTTCTTTTAAGACGAAAGCTCATGCGTTTAACGATCGAAAGCGATTATCAGCAACCTCCGATATCGTATATCGGTACGACCTTCTTCAAAACCTATTCTTTCTACGAACGTCCAACTCGTTTAACTTTCTTTATACTGCGTTTGATGAAGGACCAATATCATTATCCAAGTTTAATTAGTAAACGATCCAAGTGAAAGTACGAGCTGGTGGTGCTTTTAATTCTTCTCGAATTAGGTTCGTGGAAACGTTTTATAGATAGGAATTTGTTTAAAGAATGAATTGCTTGAATAAATCACCATTCTCTCTCTCTCTCTCTCTCTCTCTCTTTGATAGAAATAAAAAGAAAGAGAGAGGAAAATGCTATTAAACACTGTCCCCTGTGCTTTCACGAGAACTGAAAAATATCTACCAGTTTAACACGTAGAGGAGTCGTAAGAGAAATAAATTGGTGATTGTTACTGATTTATATTAGTTTTTCTTTTTTCTTTTTTTTAATAAAAATAGGCAAATCGAAATACGAGGAATGTACAAGAGTAGTAGACTTTGGTTAACCAACGTGATCGGAGGACAAACTATGAGAATAAATCAAAGTCAAATGAATAATCGTGATGAGTATGATGTTACTTGTATGCAAAATCAAATTGTCTTTCTCGGTTCTCACAGAACTCACGCAATCGGAAGTACGAAAGGGAATAGGGTTGAGAGTTGCATCGATCGCAAAGCATTTCTGGGATTCACGCGCATTATGGTGGCTCGTGCGATAGCTCTTAATGGTATTATATCAAGCTCTAATACAAAACGGCTTTTGGGGTCGTTGGCCAGACGAGTTGGGTCTATATTATTTCATCGCGAGACGTTTTAGTCACGTTTCGTTACGTGAGTGACAATAATTGTACGAGTACTAGAGGTGAAACATTGTAAAGTTTAAAAACAATCTTAACCGCAACAACATATTGAATTTACATATTCAAACAAAAAATTAAAACCTCTCACAAATGACAAGAATTTTGCTCGTAAATTGACGTTTTCAATCGAGAACAACTTAAATCGAATAATGTTTCAATGGGATTATGTTGACAGATGCATAAGCTTATTGTATGAGGTCTATGATCTATTTATTTCGACCACTATTTAACCACTACAACACTCTATATAGGAAAACGGCAAAAACAGAGAATTGTAGATTTAATATTTTAATATTTCATTAATGTTGCTATTGAATAAGAAGATCGTAGACATTTTAATATGCTCAATTCAACTTTGAACGTTCGATCGTAAATAAAAACAAAAAAAAACATATCGTCTTACGAAGAAATATTTATATAAAAAAGAGATTTTATTCTCTTCAAGAAGAAGTAGGCATCCTCTTTCCCATTTTCAAAGATGTACAAAGATTGACTAGATCTATGAGAGTTACGATACCATTAGAAAGAAGCGTGATATTAATCGATGGATATTAATTCGAGAGAAAGGGTAATTCGATGAAGATATATCAACGGGCACGTCTTATCCTTCTTGTCTCACGTGTCTGCTCGAAGATTTGGCAGACGATAGGCTGTAAGTGTAAAAAGAGAGAAAGAGAGAGAGAGAGAAAGAAAGTGTCGGATATCTCCAAGCGATTATCTCTGAGTAGTCTCGAAAGGTAATTCGATTTTTCCATCTTACTTTCTTTTTTTTTCCTTATTCTATTTTATTTCCTCCCCACTTTCCTTTTTTATTCCTTCGAAAGACGAAACCCCTTGAAGTCAGGGGTAAACGAATGGCGACGGCTCTTGGTAAGTTGCACGTGCCACCCTGATCGGAATCTTAACATGACGCTAGCGTGAGCCTTATCTGCTTCAACAAAACTGGTCGCCTCGAGCACCCAACGAGCCTTTCTGAACTTGTTTGGAATAAGAAACAGAAAGAGAGAGAGAGAGACTTTATTTCACTTGGACTTTCACACATTCACAACAAGGTTGAGGCTAACCTTCTCATTACAATATTTCAATCTTCAAGGCCCTTTTCGTAACGTTAATCACACGCAACCTTACCTGTATCGCGGAAATTCAAGTACATAATTATCCTACGTATGATACGTGGTATACTGAAATATACCTAACTCGTAGAGATAACAATGTAATGATGTATGTTTCGTTATATAACACACACATTCTCGTTAGATGTAATATAAATTATTGTTATTTATATTATGAAATTTTATTGAGAAATCTGTGGGTACACGCGCGTGTGTTCCTTGAAAACTGAAATTGTTGTCCAATGTATATTTTCGTCGATTCGATGTATTTTATCGAACAAATTGTTAAAGTATAGAACCGAAGAGTGTATTCGAAGTAACCACGATTGGAAACTAAGTTTATTGGAATTGGAATAAAATAAGAAAGAAAATGATGTGCAATCGGAAAGAGAGTACAGGAACGATGCAAGTTTCTTAGTGATTTACAGGGTTCTTTCTCTCTACTCTTTCTATCTTTTTCCAAGGAACTGTATCGTTTCGTAAGAGAGAGATAACGGAATCTCCGAGTTCACGGAAACTGATAATAAATCGAGAGAAAGAGAGTTTAAATGGACCAAAACTCTCTCGTTGGTACGAGGATGAGTCCTACATTCGTTACTCGCCCCACGGAAACTGCAGTTGAAGAATTTGGAATATGTGTGCAAAGGGATAGGAAAGAGGATGACTTACTTGGCAAAGTATTTTCTCTTTATAATTCGACCTGTTTTGCCAAAATCCTTCATCGCGAGGTTGACCCAATACGTGTCCCAGTGTTATTTCATCTTTAAATGTAACCTTGGAAAAAACAATCCTTTTGATTGTTTAAATGCTCTCTCTCTCTCTCATCCTCGGACCAAATCAAAAGATTTTATGATTTCTATTTGATTCCAAATAAAACATGAAAATATTTTTCTCGAGTTGATATTTAGAACAAGATAATACAAAAAGCCAAACAAATATTTCACTCTTCAATTCTTTTTTTTAAGCAGATATTTAATAAAAAAAATCCAATTATCAAGCAACAGCAAATCGACAGGAATGATAAAAATAAGATGATCGATAATCACTGAAATCCCTTAAAACGTTTTCCCAACAGTGAATATTCGAAAGTAACATTCGTTCGTTTTCCTTCCTCTCCCTCTTTTTCTTTCTTATTCTATCCATACCCGAACTCTCTTGGGATAGTTAAAATCGATTTAAACCTTTCACCGAGTGGCGAAAATTCAATTTTTATTAAAACCCTCGTTCGCTTACAAACACGATCCCAATCTAGCCCGGAAGCTGGGATGTTAATAGAACTCGTATGAAAAAAAAAAAGAAAAAACGGGGAAAAAGAGAAAAGAGAAGAAAAAAAGAAAAATGATATTGAAGATTCTCTTTCATCCTTCGTTTAATATCAGAAGATTTTCTAATTTTTGCGAGAGGGATCTTTTAAATACTCCTCAACTCTTGATTTCCATCAGCATCTCTCTCTTTCTCTCTCTCTCTCTCGCTTGAAAAATTACCTAAAATGTTTATAGATATATATATATATATATATATATATATATATATATATATATTACGTCGAGTGGTATACCTTTGACATTTGACGCTACCAACGAGATGTTTAACAACTTCCAAGCTACGTAAATAATTCGAGACACTTTGATAAAGGACGAGAGGCTAGAAATTTTTCAAGAAACTCATTAACAGCTTGCCAGTCGCAATGCGTCGTCGTCTTCTTCTTCTTCTTGATGTCAGGATGAAAAACTTAAATATTTTTCATCCTCTCGTTCTCTGTTTTTTTTTTTTTTTATATTCTTAGCGAATATGAATTTAATAAACAAAAATTGTTGAAACGACTTAACGAACAATTAGCTTTTTTAATAGATGATACAGAAATTTTAGGTTGAACGATAATAACGTTATTCTTGGGTAATTGAACCACCTCACAACGTTCTCCAGCTTCTTCTAGCTTCTCTCTCTCTCTCTCTCTCTCTCTCTCTCTCTCTCATTCTTATTATCTATCTTCTCACCCCAATATCCAGACACCTCCTATTATCTTCCTTAGGAACATCTCCGTTAAACGTCTTATCTTGGTTCATCGTCAACGTGAATTACACCGCAAATTCTAATATCTCGAGACTTCCTCTCTTTCCTCCCACCCCCCTCCCTTCTCCACACACATGCACAAACCTAAAAGGATTTTCTTGGATGATAGAACACGAAGAAGCGAAACTGATTGAAGTTAATGATCAGACAGCGCGATCGTCATTGTTTAAAAATTCAATCAAACATTTTCTTTTTTTTAGTTATATTTTTGTTTTCTTACAAGATTCATTTTATAAACTCACGATTTTATGATGAAGATGTTGAAGTTCTCTCTCGGTGACTCTTCTACGTGAAAGCTCGCGTTGTTCTCGTCTGTATTGACTGTACTTATAAAAAAGATACATCCCAGGAAGCGCAAGGACAACCAATGGCTTCATCAATCCAGCTCGACTACTTGGCCCACGTACACGAGGTTCAGGTGGTTCGTCCAATTCGCCTAATTGTCCGGCACCTTCGGCCACGTCCGGTACTGCTGCACCGGCTGCTGGCATCTTGTCTTTCCTAAAAAAAGAAAAGAACAGAAATAAAAGCAAATTCAATTTTATTGAAAACTTGATGAAACGGTAAACATGAAATATGACGGATTCGTAACGGATGGGGAACAAGATAGAAAATTGGATAAATAATGAAAATATTCTTTGACCGGAAACGATCGAACTATGGTGAAAATCTTCTTTGATGTATCGACGAGGTCTAACCAGCCGACGAAAATGAAAATCGTTGCTCGCGTAAGGTTTTTTCCCGTTTTCTGCTAGGGTTCACAAAACGATCAGATGGTTTTAGGTCGGCTAGAGACGGCTATTGGTTATTGGTTTCCCATCAAACCGTTTTTTACAGTTTCTTTCAGTGTACAAGAGAGAGAGAGAGAGAGAGAGAAATAAAAGTAAAAAGAGAGAGAGTTGTCACACGCCAGGCGGCCTTCCAAACGTATTCGGAGCACGACATTTTTCCCACCTGACGTTCTCAACCCCTCTCTCTCTCTCTCTCTCACTCTCTCTCTCTCTCTCTCTCTCTCTCTCTCTTCCCCTTTTCTTCTGTACCCCTGTCAGCATCATTTCTCGATATTTATAATCCTCGTTAACGTCCTTCCGAATGGCACTCGGCCGTAGCTTTCGATCGAAAACGTCGTCTACACTACTCTACCACCGTCTTTCCGGATTGTATCTTTCCAACCTATTGCAATAATATTTCGATTGAATATGACAACTTACGTAACGTAATAGATCCTTGATAGTCTATCGTAATAATAAAATCTGTTAGGAAAAATTTTCGAAATTTCGCGATATGAATAAATAACAATCTGTATAAATAATTATTAAAATCCATTAAAAAGATACGATATTAATCTTACAATAAACGTTAATACACATTGTAATACTACTTTTGATATGGAACGTGTACTTTCACTTTTTTCTCCGATAAAAGAAAGTTAAAAATGTTGTGAGAAAGAGAGAGAAAGGGTCAGGAACGTCGAACTATTCGAAGAATCAACGACAAAAGGAGCAGATACCTTGTATCGTTCAGACATCGAACAGATAGGAGTGGACTTAAAGTAATATACCCTTCCCTCTCGTCCCTCTGATCTTCCGTGACTTCAATGAAATTTCGTAATCTACTTGGAGGTCGTTCACCGACTATATTTAATTCAAGCGTCTACTCGCCGTTCTATTCTTAACCGTCCGTTCTAGAAATAAGCGCGAACACCGCTTCGCATCACGACCCACGTTTCCCTCCCCCTTTTACTCCGCCTCTCGGCAAACCTACCCTCCTTTACTCACAAACACAAACACGAACACACACACATACACATCTTCTCTTTTTCTCTTATTTTCCTTCTTATATATTCCTCTTATTTTCGAACCCGGTAGATGCAGCAAAAACATTGTCGCATTTGGTGTCACGCAACAAACGAGTATGACCATACAAGCTACTTTTATACATTGTCAACGAAAGGATCCTTCATGATTCATAATTCAGCAAGGAAAATTCTACCTTGCTTGCATCCCATGACCTTATTTTCTATTATTTTATTTTTCCCACCCCTGCCCCCCTACCGCCCATTTTTATTTTAGCCGAGTAATTAAATTTACATTTTTTGTTTTCTGTAAACTTTTATAACAAGTTTGCTCGCGACGTTGATTCTATATTCATAATATAATTGAATGGAAAAAGAAAAAAAGTTAGGCATAGAATTAGATAAACGTTTGAAGGAAGAACATAATTGAACTTTAATTAAAAGTAGATAGAATAGAAAAGTTATCTCGTTTAAAAAATTCATTTTGGATAAACAATTTATTATCCAAGGGAACGATCGTAACGAAATGGACAATGGACGATCATTGGTGGTAATGGTTTCGGTACAACGATGGAGTTAGCAATTTAAAAAGGAAGGGCAAACACGAAACACGATATAGGCTTGGCAGGGACGATAATAAACGATAAAGATACGCGAGATGCGTAAACGAACACATACACGATACACACACACACGCATATTATATATATAATATATATAAGCTTTCTCAAGGGCTTGATATGTTATCACCTAAAGGAAAGGTAGGTAATATATTATCGGAAATGAATCGATATATCGACTCGTTGTGCACTTCGCACTTTGCCATCTCGGAGATACCTACACCACCTGAGGGATTTCAAGATGTATTCCCAAGGACAAGGTCGATCGAGCAAACACCTTTAACCGATTTCTTTCTAAATTTTATTCTAATTTAGGGAAAAACAAAAAATCTCCAAAAAAAAAATGGAATTCATCTTTTAAAAATAACTCGAGAAAATTCGAATCGTAACGATCGATTAAGTTTCTTATTATAAATTCCAATACGAGTTTTGGATTAATGAAAAAAAAAAAAAGAAAAAAAAAGAAAAAGAAACAAGTAAGATTTATTATAAAATTACGGATGATAATCAAGAAGATTGATTGATTAATGTAAAGTATAGCGATCGTTAGAGAGGCAAGGGGGAGAAATAATACATATATCTATTATCGTTAAGGTCTAGAACGATCCGATGGCACCGGACGTATGCGTTTCGCCTTGACACAGCGTAATGGCGGTCGCAGGAACAAGGACGCTCAACGCGTCAGGATAACATCGTCCCGCCGATGCGCTAGGCTACGGCCAAGTACACGTCCTGACTTTCTATTTTTATGCCTTTTCCACTTGCAAGTTGAGTTCGATCGGTCTCTCTCTCTCTCTCTCTCTCTCTCTCTCTCTCTCTCTCTCTCTCTCTCTCTCTCTCTTTCGCGATTACAATCAATCCGTTCGTTCCTTTTTTTTCTCTTTTTCTTTTCTTATCCTTTTTCTTTATTACTCGTTAACAAAGTCGGATAAATGGATTCTCATAATCGTCATCGTTTTAATCTATATCCAACGATACAAATAAAAATTTCCTTTCTTTTTTTTTTGTTTTGTTAATAAATTAATGACCAAAATCAATAAAATTGGCGCGAAAAAAGTGAAGAAAAAAAGAAAGAAACGAGGTCAAACGGGTTCAACGAGGATCGTCGTTTTTTGTTTCTACTTTTACTTCTTTTTATAAAACAATCCGTCATTCATATTTATTACGAATCGAACGAAAAGTCAAATCCGAGTAGAGTCGATGGACCCGACGATATTTACGTTCGAGTCGATGCACTCCGATATATGTCTGGGATATATACTAGAACGAATTAATGAAGAATTTTGCGAAACAACAACAAGAAAATAAAAAAAGAATTATACACGAGAGAAGTACGAATTAAAAAGAAAGAATCAAACAAAATGTAAAAGAGTTGGAATTAATGTGTAACGCTTTAACGTATTTTAAGTTAGGATAGTATAATGATTGGAAGTACGAATGATCGATAAGGATGATAAAGTGACATAGAGAACACCGTGCATGTTTGTATTTACCGAACGACCAAGTGCAAGGTATTAATCATACGTATATGTATCATAATAATAACTAACCATTCGTATGCGTAGGTGTACAGTATAATGTATAATACTTCATCAACAATAGATACGGATGAATGTTTAACAAAGATCTATTAAATCTTTTTCCCGCCAAGTAGCATACCAGAGAACACATATGTGTTCAACATGCATATAAATGTTTTCGTATGAATGCAATCCGTGTTACATGAGAGGAAACATGGGTCTCCCGAGATGAGAATCATCGCTTGTGCGCGCCCATAGGTGCGTACTCGCGCCTTCATCACAAACCATGTATATCTCTTTTCGATTATAAATATACGTTTAATTAAAATATAAGATTAATGTATCAAAGTTGTTATATTTAAATAGAGAAAGAAGAGGTGTGTGTGTGTTGCAATTCACGTTCACTCTGTCACTGTCTCTCTTTTTCTAGCACGTGTATACATGGATTCGTGTATACTCCTCGAAAAGATCAGAACTAAGAAAGAAATAAGAAAGTGATAATGATAAAAGAAGAAAGTAGAAGTCTCACTTACGTTTTCTACGTATCTTCGTGGTTTCTCTTGTCGTCGAAGATTCGGGAAGAGGCTGTGTGACGCTCGATAAAACTCGTCGGTGGAATCACCAATGTAAAAGCTCAAACGATGATAGATAAAAAACAACAGCGAGGGTGAATGAGAAAGAAAATGAGACAGCGAGCGAGCGAACGAACGAACGAGCGAACGAACGAGAAAAAGATAAGGGTTAAAAAAAGATTGATAAAAAGAGGATAATTAAAGAAAGAAAAAAAGAAAGAAGGAAAAAGAGAGAAAGAGATAGAGAGAGAGAGAGAGAAACGCGAGAGGTCGATCCCTCCTCGTGGTCTCTCAAGCGAGAAGGAAGAAGAACATCGCCGGTCGGGCCGCGACTGACCTGGCGGGAGACCGGCGGCGGCTGCACTGCGCGCCTGCAACCAGGCAACCCGTGCACAGCCGTGCTACTTCGTCTCCGTTCGTATTAGCTCGGTTAGTTTCGAGCAAGTTCGTACGACCTCGGCCGTTGACGCGTTCTATTCGCTCGATTCCGGCGCTTATTCCGAGGCCGTTCGAGCTCGGCCGAGTTGATACGAATTTAGCCGAAGGAAGTTGGGGGAAGCCGCGAGTGAGCGAGCGCCTGCGTGACGCAATGCGTGATACACCACGGACGTGTTCGAGCGATCGAAGCCGTAGTGCCGGCGTGCTGGCCGGGCAGCCACTGAGAGATGCTCACGATGGGTGACGCTGATTCTCTTCCTGATCCTACCGACTCTGCTACTACCACCGCCACCACACAACTCTGCTTTTACCTCTGCTGCTGCTGCTGCTGCTGCTGCTGCTGCTGCTGCTGCTCGAGAAGGATCGATAAAAGGAGGAGGGACTCGAAGTGCGACATGTAGAGAAAGAGGGCGAGAGAGAGAGAGAGAGAGATATCTGGGAGAAGAAGAAACGAGAAACGCGTTTCTCCTCTTCGTCCTTTTTCTTCATTCTTCACGATATATCCTACCCCACCAGTATCAGCATCAGCATCAGCATCAGCAGCAGACATACCACTATCATCATCCCAACGACCACCATTTTCATACAACTTTTTGTCTTTTTTTCTTTTTTTCTCATTCGATCTCCTCCTCTCCCTTTCCCTCTCCCCCCGCCCTTCTCACTCTTTCCCTCTCTCTCCAATTCCGTTTTTCATCCCTACGCCCTCCTATATCTCGACTTTCCTTGCATCGACGTATGGACCGATATCGAGGTTATTGAACCCTTCCCTAAGAAGAATTCCAGATAAATGTTCCATTTCCCTTTCTCCTCCCTTATTTCTCTTTGATCTTTATTTTTCTTACCCTATCCGATCATTGTCAATTGTTGATCGTTTCTATGACGAAAGATGAAACTTCGTCATGTATCAGAAACTAGTTTGCGTATGTAAGAAAGTGTCGCGTTGTGCTAGGTACTAAACTAACAAAGGGAAGAGACACTGAAAGGGAAAATATTGAAGAGGTAATTCGAGCTAAAGGGCAATTGGATAACGTGGACACAAACAATTCTTGTATAATAGCACTCCAATACGTTCTTCTTACCAAGTGGAACGCTTTTGTGAAGAAGCACGAATAAGTGGCGACGCCTTTAACGTGTTAAGAGAGAGAGTTTCATATTTTTTCTTCTATCCCCTTTTATACAAACCCATTTTGATAGTCCACTAATTATATATAAGTTAGGTCAAATTATCTAAACGCATTTATGAGGGCTCATTTTGTAGAAATTTAGAAAAAAAAAAAAAAAACATGTATGATAATATCGAGATCATAATGCGAAGAGATCTTTAAGAATCGTATCGTTGCATAAAGGTGCGACAATTGAATTCGTTTTTTCTTTAACAATCATCTCCCTCTCTCTCTCTCTCTTTCTCTCTGTTTCTCTCTCCCTTTTTTTCCTCGTCAAAATAACGAGGCACCCGAACAAAGCTGCAGTGGTTCTTATACCACGAGGAGGACCGTAGCGAAGAAGTGTCGTTACGTAATAATACCTCGGAAAATTCAGCAGCGTTACGTTGGTAACGCTCGTCGTCCGTTCTGCTCGGGCGCCAGAAACAAGCAATTTAGTCCTCTATCTCTCTCTCTCTCTTTTTTTCTCTTTTCTTCTTTTTTCTTCGAGTACGAGGACCTCTCGAAAGTACACTACTCCTAGTTCCTCTTTCCTCTTCTTTCACCTTCTTATTTTTATCGTCTTTCCTCTTATCTATCTTTTCCAATTCTCATGGGAATCGCATGAAAAGAAAATCGAAAGGCTTTTGAAAGGAAGCATTTTTAGCATGGAATATATCGAGCGGTTTATCGTCCGGTTGAACATTCTAATCTCGTAACTAGTCTCTCGACGTCTAAAAATAGAAAATATTTTTTTCAATCTCATATATATCTATATGTTTATATGTATATGTTTATTTTATATTGAAAATTTTCTATATACCGAAAATTATATTTTAATTATATCACAAAGGATCGATTTAAACGAAACGATTCTATTATTTCGCAACGATGTGAGGGAAGAGTTTAAAATGGAATTTTCTTTTGCATTATTGTTCTTTTCTTGTTTGTTTTCGAATAAACAATCGCGTAGGAGAAAAAACACGTAGCTATATATATATATCGTGAGAAAGATCGATTACAATGCTACCGGAGAAAAAGAATGGATGTTTTATTCGAGCTGCGAAAAGGAGAAATGATCTTTGAATCGTAGCCAGAAAATACAATCGGCTCACAGCTGCCCACTTTTTTTTTTCTCTTTTACCCCCGGAGTTAGTTTCGACCCGCTTCCATTGCTCGATTCCAGTGACGTCATTGTGTAAAACGTCAGATCAATGGTCTCCAGGGGTTGCTGGCATCGCTCTTTACCCTTACGCGTACCGAGAAAGTCAAGAAAGGAGCCACGGATTCCAGCAACGACCCACGCTAACATATGGATGTTTAAAGGGCGGTTCGATGCTGACCTACTCCCTTAAAATTACCTTCGAGACACGTTCGAAATCTCTACGGCCAAATGCCATACTCGTTTTAAAAAAAAACTGCTGCTCTTCTTCGATCCTCTTTTTCCTTTTTTTTTCATTTTACATTCTATCATTTCGGTTAATTTAAATCATTTTTCTTTTTTCTCTTTTTATTTTTTTTTTGAATTAACAATAAACGAATGTTTTATTCGAACATTTGTACTTGTTAAAAATTGATAGTGGATGCTAAATATTAGATTCGACACGAGCAATCATTGAAAAAAAAAAAACAAAAAAAAAATAAAAGAAAATTACTTTTCACAAGCGATCTAATAAATCATACATTTTTAATCATTTTTACAAATATTTGTACTAGTTCATAACATAATAATAGCAATACTAAATCAATTTGTTTTTCATTGTATGCATACATATAAATATATCGATACTTAATAAACAATATCCATTAATCGTTTTATCGAAACTTTGATTAAATATTAGTATTAAATATCTAATCATTCTATCAATATTATATTAAAGTTATATTTAAATAAAAGTAAAATATCTATATAGCACATGAATGATAAATTAATATAATATTTATAATGTTTTGTTTTTGAAAATATAATATGAGATTTCGTAATGGATTCTTTTTACAGTTAATTTTCTAATGTCGTAGCTAATGAAAAAGAAACTAGGGAATGATGTGGGAAAGAAAGCAAACACGACTCAAATGTCATCAGAAGAGGTCTATTTAAACGTTCTAGTGATAACACATCGTTCAATCTACTCGTTTCAATCCCACGGGTACGTTGTGTGGATACATTTATCGTGATTCGACGAAAGTAACCGCAGGTTATTATCGAATAATCGCAGAAACTAGACGATCTTATCGATAAAACGAGTCTAACGTAGTCAAGCCGAATTCCATTCATATACACGATACTCGAGATCGAAAAGGAACGAATTTCTACTCGTTAAAAGAGTAGAATTCATTGCTGTTATTCTCCAACTGATTGATTTTCTCGTTAATGATCGAGTATACGCGATAATGCTGCTAAAAATCGTTCATTAAGTTCATTCAAAGTTGAATCAAGTGTTGGTAATTGGTATTGTTAATAGTTGATTTAGTAAACGTTTGGAATTTTGTTTTTTTTTTCAATTAATATATACGAATCTCGAAAGATAGAAAAAAGTAGAATAGATGAGCTATTAAAAAAAAAAAGCTTTTTACCCTTCATACGATTATCTTCATTATGAATGTTAGAGCGCGATAAAATAATTTAAATATTGATTTATTTATTTATATTCGTAAGAGAGTATCGAGACGCGATAAGTTAATGATACGAACCAAATGAGAAAGGTAAAAAAAATAAAATCAAACGATATGAAGAAATAAGGGAAAAAAGGGGGGGAGAAAGAAGGGAGAAATAGAGGACGATGACACGTTTCTCGAAAGGATTCGAAGGATGATCATCCGTGGTGTTTCGTTCGCGGGCTGAGCGTCACTGCATGACGTCACAGAAAGTTCAATGACGTCACGAGCCGTTCGATACGCCAGCATGGGAGCTTGGAGTGGGGATGCACGGTTTACCGAGGAAACGAGAGAGAGAGAGAGAAAAAAAGATAAAGGTAAAGTAGAAGAAGGAAGGGAAGAAGCAGAAGATAGAAAAGTACGAGATGATACTGTGCGCACGATGGAAAAAAAGGGATGCAGTTTCGAGGGGTGGATTCCTAAAAGAAAAGAGAGAAAAAGTTAGAATAGGAAGAATTTGAGGGAAAAAGAAGTGGAACCTTTGGTAAGTAGTGGAACCAGAAATAAGTGGGGAGAAAATATGGAAAAGGTACGGAACGAGCAACTTTTCACGCCACTATGGGTGAATGTTACTATCACAGATGCAGATCGGAGATCAAAAGAACGAGGCCGACGAAAATCTACCACGCATTGTCGAACAATCCTTGCGAATACATATACGTATACTTGTCGTTTAAATGTGTGGCGTATATATTCATATGTACCATGTATACATATACATGAATACTCGTATGTAAAAATACATGACGCTTCGTCAAGCCGGCACACCGATGACAAAACTTCAAAATGGAACTCGGCTAGCTTTTTAATCGAGCCTCTCAATCGGAGAATTTTTAATAACCCAGATGTGACACGCTATCGGGAGAGGTTCGTTTCACTCCCCTTCATTCTACCCCCTTCTCCTTCGTTCT